TTTTGCTTCCAGATAGATGACTCCGAGTAGCACCATCTCGCTGCGGAGCTGAGTCAGACGTGGTTTTCAGACGTACAGCGAACTTTTAAACCCTGCAGTTTGGTGGTACAGTGTTAGCTGTAGCAGCGTGCAACTATTGAAAAAATCGTACAGCGTATGTCCGGCTTAACCCTTTAAAGCCCGATCCAAGAATAAAACAAAACAGAAACTTTTTTTTGTTTTGAAGTCCTTATTTGGCCTTTTAACAAAATATGTAAAAAGAGAAAACAGAAATACATTTTTGATATTATTAATTTATTACTATGCTATAAGTCAAGATTATTTTTTGTGTAGTCTTCTGCCCTCTGTTATCAGGTATATCTGATTGTTTACAATAGGATTTTGAGCAAAGTTTTTACCATTAAATTATGCAAAAGGTGTCAGACGCAAAACATTTCAGAAACCGTATGAATCAAATACGATACATTTGGCATTACAGGGTTAAGCAAACGAGCAATGATCACTCCTTTCTTGACATATTTCATACTTTTCTCATCTCTTGTACTTTGATTTGGGTTTACCTTTTTATGTTTTGGATTTCTTTCCACATTATAAAATAAATGTCTATTAATTCATTCAGCTCCAAACTAAGGGACTATAATGTTCAAGACGTTGGCCCCTGGTAGGTTTTCCATTGCTAATGGCCGTGGCTAATTCCACAGCCAGGATTGGGGGGTTCGCTAATAAGTGCTTAGAGATTAAGTTTAAGCAACAGGAGCCCCCCCCACCGCCTTTTAGGGAGAACTACCTCATAGGCCAGCTGTCAGGTTGGGGCTGCGGCCCATGCATGATGATGACTCTGGGTGTCACAATGCAATGGATTGGGTGTCTGGATTTGCTGTCCAAAGTTGAATGTTACTTGATATACTGGAATCGCAGTTTGGTTTCTAGAACTCAGAACTAGGGCTGAACTTTCCTGCTCTTGACCGGCTTGATAAGCCAAATGTTTGGGGATATTGAAGGGCACGTTCAGAGCCATGCTTGCAGAGGTTTTCCCTGGGTGATCAAGGAAGCCCTCTGTTCCGTCTGGGTTTAGTTCAGAATCTCAGCATTTTCGGAGACGGTCCTCTGACAGGGTTTCCATTTAATGATTCTGTTGAACGCAGGGAATAATGGTGTTACGTAA